GCATTCAGGGCCAGCATGTCAGTATCTGTGTAGATGATTTGGTGGGTCCCCACTCTGGCTGGTTTGGGGGCCTTTTGTTTTAAAATCTCAGATGATTTTGACACAAACCATTGATAAAGCTAGAAAATTATGAGGCCGGGGAACCAGCAGTTAGCGTAATGGCTATGTCGCTGGACTCCCACGTAGTCCACCACGGGCTCGCGTCCTGGACCTGGTGGCTTAAAACTCACGCAGGGCGCATTTGCGTGCCTTCCCAAGATCCCGGGAGGAGAAGGGATTGTGGCGTGGCCATCCCCCCTGGGGGGTGATTTCTCGCTTTCTGTCTCTTTCTCTGTCTGTCTGGCGAGCGCACGCGCCCTATAGCAAAAAACCTTTCCAAAAAAAGATAAAGAAAATTATGAGGCTGAACTCCACTTCATAACCCACTCTGTGACCGATTTTTCTGCGATTTTGTTTACTTCTAAGTGGCCGCTAGATAATGGACCCCCATTTTCATCCTTCACTTCTTCAGAGTACATAGGCCGATATTAATACTGAAGTCTCTTAGAAACATTGTATTCACGTGCCTTTTAAAACCTGGCCAGGTGGGACCAGCAGTTAGTGTAATGGCTATGTCGCTGGACTCCCATGACGCCGGGCGCGTGTGCGTGCGTGCTCAAGATCCCGAGAGGAGAATGGAGGAGAAGGGATTGCGGCGTGACCACCCCCTGGGGGGTGATTTCTCTCTTTCTGTATGTCTCTGTCCAGCGAGCGCACAAACCCTATAACAAAAACCTCTTCAAATAATACTAATAATAAAAACCTGGCCAGGGGACCAGCAGGTGGCGTAGTGGTTAAGATGCTGGACTCCCACATAGGCGACTGACCAAGGCTGGAGTCCAGGACCCACAGCCTGAAACAGGGATTGTGGCATGGCCATCCTCCTGGGGGGAGGGGGATGATTTCTCACTCTCTCTCTGTCTCTGTCTCTCCAGTGAGCACATGCACCCTATACCAAAGGAGAAAAAACCTGGTCAGTCCGATTAACTGTAGTTTCCTTTCAGAGCTGAGACATGAGCCATTTGCAGAATTTACTGTTAGACTCCCTCCTGGGAACAAAGCACGTGGACAGTGCAGCCCTCGTCAAACTCCATGAGCGCACCCTGTGTGTAGCCACGCCGGGATTTAGTGTAAGGAGAAGAAAGGGCATGTAACGTGTAAAGATGAAAAAGAAAGAAGAAAGAGCTATAGTAAATATTGTAGTGTCTGTCTCAACCTGCCAACTCTGCAGTTGTAATGGGAAAATAGCTCTAGAAATGCATAATGAATAGGTGTGACTGTGTACTAATAAAACTTTATTGATACTGAAATGTGAATTTCGTACACTATTTTTTTATAAGGTTTTTGCCCTGGGGCACGTGTGCTTGCCGAAGAGAGACAGAGAGACGGAGTTCTCAGTTGTGGCGGCTTGGGGCGTACACACAAGGCAGCAGAGTCACTGTGAGAGGCAAAGTGAGACACACCCTCCAGGGGAGATGGCCACACTGCAGTCCCTTCTCCGGGTTTTTAGCATGTATACACATGCATGCCCAGTGTGATTTTCAAGCCATGGGCCCTGCAACTAGAACCATGGCTGGCTGGGTAGGAGTCCAGTGCCTTAACCGCCACCTACTGGCCCCTAATTTCATAACAATATTTTACTTTTCAAAAAGCATTATTCTTCTTTTGACTTCCTTTTTTTTTTCCTTTCAGATTTGCCATAGAGGACATGTGGGGGGCGGGGAGGAGAAGTCACCCCAGGGGCAGTCCTTGTGTTAGGATTTTGGCCATGTACGTGGGCACACCCCTCATGGTTTTCAAGCCGCTGGGTCTGGGACTCAGACTGTGAAGTCCGACAGGTGGACTCCAGCTGCCTTAACCTCTACAACATCTGCTGGCCCCTTCTTTTGACTTTTTCCCCCAACCATTTAAAATTGTGGAAACAGGGCTGGCCCTGTAGCCTAGTAGTTAAGGGAGCCAGATCCCCCATGGCTGACTGAGGCACCAGATGCTTGAAAAACTTCCCAGGCCCTTACACGTGTGTGTCCCAAATCCCAACAGGATGGGAAAGTGAAGAAGGGGTTTGTGGTGTGACCACACTCCCTCAGAGGGTTCTCTCTCTCTCTCTCTCTCTCTCTCTCTTCGTGTCTCTCTCTCTCAAATGTGTACATCCTCTGACAAAAAAAAAAAAAAATTGAAAAACCTTCTTAATTTGCAGGCCATGTAAAACAGACAAGGAGGTCACATTTAACTTCTGTGTCAACTCTTGGTCTAACTTTAACCTCTCCAGGTGATGCCCAGTGATGTCCGCACACTCGTGAATGGATTTGCCAAGAACCCTTTGCAAACTCGAAGAGAAGGACTGTATTTCAAGGAAAGGGATTACAAATGTGTCCGGGCAGATGACTATTCTCTTTATGCTAAGAATGTGAGTGTTCAAGATTTGAAGATAATTAGGTTTAACCTTAAGAAACTAATTTGACTTCAATTCTCTTTGCCCTTCGCAATCCTCTCTATAAAACAGGTTAAGCCCATTATTGTCCATTTCTGTACTGTCTGAAATAGTCGAGTACCAGGAAGGCAAGTGTAAAAGCACAAGATTTCAAAAAGTTCGTGGGAGCGACCAGCAGATGGCGTAATGCTGGATTCCCACATAGTTGACCACGGTTCAAGTCCTGGACCCGGTTGCTTAAAACACGCTGGGTGTGTGTGCACGTGAGCCCAAAATCCCAAGAAGAGAATGGAGGGGAGGGACTGTGGCATGGCCATCCCTCTTGGAGGTGATTTCTAGCTTTCTGTCTCTGTCTCTCTGGAGAGCTTATGTTCCCTATAGTAAAAAATCTCTCTCTTAAAATAAAACAAAAACTTGGGGCCCTGGACTCCCACATAGTCTACTGCAGTTGGGTCCTGGACCTGGCAGCTTGCTTTCTCACTTTCCCTCTCTTCTCTCTCTCTCTGTCCCTCTCTGGTCAAATTAAAATAATAATAATAATTATATAAATAAAGTTAAATGAAATAATTCTTTAAAAAGACTCATGGGAAACTGGAATTAAAGGATGAGTTTATCTTGGTGGAAAAAAAATTTCAGGCATAGTTTTTTTCACGTGTATCTTCCGTGAACTTTTTGAAGAAAACCTGGCTTTGACAAACATTCATTCCATGATCCACCAACTGAACTTTTCCTGAACTGTCTCTTTCTACTATAGTCTTTCTGATATAGAATATCAGAAAGAGGTCCCCTGCCCCTGGGCCACAAACCTGTTCTGATCTGTGGCCTGTTAGGAACTGGGTCACACCGCGGGTGAGCGGTGGACCAGGGAGCCAAGCTTCTGTATCTACAGCCATTCCCCATCCCTCTCGTTACTGCCTGAGCTCTGCTTCCGGTCAGCTCAGCAGCAGCATTAAAGTCTCACCGAAATACAAACCCTGTTGTAGACTGCGTGTGAGGGATCTAGGTTGCGTGCTCTCATAAACTATCCCTCTCACCCCTCACCCCCGCCCTATCCATAGAAAAATCGGCTTCCACAAAACCAGTCGCTGGTGCCAAAAAGGCTGGGGGCCACTGCTCTACACCCTCCCGAGAAGAGAAGGTGACATCACTTCCATGCCTAAAGCCCCTCTTGGCTTTCTGTCGCCTCTTAGGAACTTACATCCATTGGATACTTTGTGTTATGGTTATGCTCACTTCTCCGCATTATAAAGGAAATAGCTTCATTCTACAGATGAAGAAATTGAGTTTAAATAACTTGCTATAGACATGTAGCAGAAAACAATAGTGTTGAGATTCAAGCCCACAGCTCTCCACTTTTAAAATACATTACCTGAAGTTGGCAAGTGGCATGGTGTCTAAGGCGATGGACTCCCACATGGTTGACTGCTATTCAAGTCCTGGACCTGGTGCTTGCTTTCTCACTTTCCGTCTCGCTCTCTGTCTGTCTTTCTCTGGTCAAATTTTAAAAATTATAATAATAATAAAAAATAAAATTAAATAAATAATTATTTTAAAACATAAATGAAAAATAAAATGCATTACCTGTCCATTAAATCTGTGGGTTCTCATTGAGATAATAATATATTACAATCAATTGGAGGACTTTCTCCAAATATGTACATTGTTATTACAATAGTCTAAAACATTTACAGGAAAAACAACTAAACTAGTGGAAATGAATGGGAGAATCCAAAAACAAATACATGACTGTAAGAAAGTCGGGAAATGGTAAAAAACGTGGCAGTGGCAGTGGCATGCCTGCTGGTCCCTGTGGTTAGGACCCAGAGTGGGCATTATATTCTATTCTTTATCCAGGAAAACACGGGTGTGATCGTTGTAAAGACCAATCTGTATCTTCTGGTGGCAACTTACACTGAAGGCATGTGTCCTAGCATCTGTGTAGAAGCCACAGAGAAGCTGGGTAAGTTTGACTCCAAATCCTGTGTTAGTTGGGTCTTCTAACTACATGTTATGGGGATCCAACTCAGACCAGTGAGGACCAGAAAGGAGGAATCTATTGGAGGGATACCGGGTAACCACTGGAAGGGCAGCATGCAGCTGAACCACAGGGAAAGCAGATTCCAGCTACCGGAACTAGGATTCTGTCTTGTCTTGGCTTCTAAGTCAGTCAGCTTGTTCTGTCCCATCTTAGGTCTTAGTGTCTCCAAGGACCCTGAGTTGACCATCTCAAAGGGGCAGATCAGGGAACTGAGGAAACAGCAGGGCAAAAAGGCAGAGATGTCACTGTGGGCTCCTAGACTACATAAACAGACATTTTATAGGAAAAGAGATTGCCCCGAGCCAGCCTGCCACCTTCCATGTTGATATGTTTTTGTTTTATTTTGAATTGCCAGAGGGCATGTGCTCGCCAAAGAGAGAAAGGGAGAAAGCACCCTCCAGAGGGATGCAGTCATGCTGCAATTCTTACCTCCCATTTCTCCATCCAGGCAGGATGTGGGGCATACATGTGGGGCATACACAGGCCTGGTGTGTTTCCTGGGCCACCTGAACCAGTAGTTAAGCCGTGGTTGACCACATGGTATCCAGCACCATTAACCACTATACCACAGGGCGAACCGGATACTTTTTTTTTCCAATGAAGATTTAATAGCAAGGGTTGGACAGTGCTACAGCAGTAAAACATGGTGTTCTGCAAGTCCAGCCCACATGGGAGAGTTCCAGGTTTGTGTCCAGAGACCTTGCTAAGTACACGGGTATGCACGTGCCCATGATCTGGGGCCGGCCAAAGCTGGGACTGGATCATGGTTACTAGACTGTGCTGGGTGTGCTCTCTCTCTCATTCTCCCCCCCCCACCATGGAATAAATAAATTAGCTTTTTTGAATTGCCAGAGGATGCCTGGTGGTTTATTTTCTCACTTTTTTTCTCTCTCTCTCTCAGTCTCTCTCTCTGGTCAAATTAAAAAATACTAATGATGATGAATAAAATTAAATAAATTAATTATTTTAAAAAGAAGAATGGATTAATCAACCATATTGTAGTGATAATTTAATACTAAAAAGTAATAACCATAATGTATTTTCTTTCAGGAGACTATCTGAGAAAAAAAGGAAATTAAGACATCAGAGGACTATGAAAGCATTTACTATTTTAGGAGAAAATTACAGATCCTAAGGAAAAATACCTTATTTATGGTTAAAAAATACTAGGCAGAAGAGCCTTAAAAAAAAAAAAAAGAGTGAATTAAGGGAGAAAGTTTCTTTTATCAAGAGATCATCTTCTTTAATTGGAATTATTGATTAATTTGTTCTCTTTTTTTAATTCTGGAATACGACAGAACTGAAATTTCACAGGGCATATCTGCTGGGAGATTCTCCTCCATGCAGCTCTTGTACACCTGGATATCTTCTGGATATGGCAAGAATAAAAGCCTTAATCTTATTATTTTTTTTTTTTTTTTGCCAGAATGCACGTGCATTCACCAGAGTTAGGGAGGGGGGGAGGGTGAGTGAGAAATCACCCCCTAGGGAGCATAGCCACTCTGCAATCCCTTTCTTCCTTCTCCTTTCAGGATTTTGAGTACATACACACACACACACACACACACACACACACACAGCCTGCATATTTTTCAAGGTACTGGGTTTGGGACTTGAACCACAGTTGGCCAGGTAGGAGTCCAAGATCTTAATCACCATGCCACTTGCAGGCCCCCAAATCACTATTTTTCAGGCCATTTCTCAGGGTTTTGTTACAGTAAGCAACTGAAAAATGACATACTGTCTTCCTTCAGGACAAAAAGCAAGCTTGCTTACTGATTGCTATAAAAGAGGTGGCGTCTCTGAGCTCAGTGGTCCTCTCTCGTAATGCAGCGCACTGCATGTGTGACATCCATCTGGTCCGCATCACCCCTGTGGGATCTTGGGAGCAAGGGAAGCAATGCAAAGGCTATCCAACAATGAGCCACTAGTCAAGGTGTTCAACAGGACAGTCTGCACTCCGGTTACAGGTATTTGGAATTGTCGAATATCGGAGTGGGCTTCTCAAAACTCATCTCCATAGGGGCCAGAAGGTGACACAGTGGTAATGCAACACTCTTTGAAAATGACTCATACGGGAAGGTTCCAGGTTCCTGTCCAGAGATCTTCCTGAGTACACCAGGCACGCATGTGCACATGATCCTGGCTAGCTGAGGTTTGGGATGGAGTGCAGCATAGACACCCTATTAAAGGTACCTGTCTCTGTCTCTCTCACTCGTGAAAGAGAGGGCCAGCCCACAGCATGGTGGTTAAGGTGGCTGGATCCCATATATGGCTGACTGCGTGGTTTCAGGACTCAAACCACGGTCCACCATGTGGGAGTCCAGTACCTTAACCACAAACCACCTACTGGCCTCTCTAGAAAAAATTTTTAAAAGAAGTGGATAGACTTTAAAACAAATGAATCCCAAAAGATTTCTGACTGTACCTCCCCATTATGTCTTAGTCCATACAACCTCGTAAGGCAACATCATCACTGACTGCTACCTTCCCCAGAAAGGGTTCATCTGCTTTAGGTCGCTTCCTAGGAAATGATTCAGATAGTCAGGGTGGGGAGTTACATAACTTATTTTGAAAATTCAGTATTCTACCCTGACCGTTCCTGGACAATGATACATTTTTCTTTTCTATAACAGTACCCTAGGCCAGTCTGGTTGGTACATCCTTCAGGTGTCCCTGGGTAGGGAACACCTGGCTGAAAGAGGGCCTATGAGATTTGACTTCAATTCTCTGGACAGGATGGACTGACATGGTCCCGTATCATGAGGCTAATGAGCACTTGATTAAGTATACTGTTCTCCAGGTCCCTCTGCAATGCTCTACACAGGCCAAGGAGGAATATAATGAATCTCTGTATCTTGTTAAAATATCCCTCTCACATCCGACCCTTCCAGACAAAATGTCTGGGTGCAAGTAGGGCATCCTTCGAGAAAAAGCGTGGCCAGAGCTGCTGGGATGGGACACGCCGATTGCCTGACCGTGAAGGCACTGGCACCTGGGGCGGAAACACAGACCACAGGAGACTGGCAAGTGGGAGTGCTCTTTAATGATCTTTTTGTCCTCTAGAGTAAAATAAAATCTTAGATCTTTCCTACTTCTTGACATTACCAGGCAGCAAGGTGTGGGATTCTGAATTCTGAGGATGTACCATCTGGGACAAGGTGTCTTCTGCTTGTGTTTATAAAATTTTGCTATTCTCAAGTCTTGTGTAATGGGCCTCTGAGAAGCTTACTTGCAGCATCATTCTTTCTCTGAACCCAAGTGCTAAGGACCACCAATTTTTTTCTTGGTGGTCAGCCTTACCATTAGTCCATTCATTTGTTTATATGTTTATGTATATTTATTTTTGAGCAAGAGATAAAAATAAATCTAGGGGGGACCAGCAGGTGGCATGATGGTTAAGGCATTGGACACTCCCACATGGCTGACTGTGGTTCAAGTCCCAGACCTGGTGATTTGCTTCCTCCCTTTTCCTCCCTCTCTCTCTTTCTCGGTGTGTGTCTCTCTCTGGTAAAATTAAAATAAATGAATGAGCCTTTTTGGCTCTATGAGTAGCCCCATGGCATTTGGCAAGAATAAGCACCTTTCAAAAGGCAGCAAAAAGCGAGCCAAGAAGAAAGTGGTTGATCCATTTTCTAAAAAAGATTGGTATGACATGAAAGCACCAGTTATGTTCAACATAAATATTGGGGAAACACTAGTTACTGGGACTCAGGGAACCAAAATTGCAACTGATGGCCTTAAGGGCTGTGTGTTTGAAGTGAGCCTTGCAGATCTGCACAATGATGAAGTCGCATTTAGGAAATCCAGGCTAATAACTGAGGATGTTCAGGGCAAAAACTGCCTGAATAACTTCCATGGCATGGATCTCACCCATGACAAAATGTGTTCCATGGTCAAAAAATGGCAGACCATGATTGAAGCTCATGTGGGTGTCAAGACTACCAATGATTATTTGCTTAATCTCTTCTCTGTTGGGTTTACTGAAAAACACAGCAATCAGATACTGAAGACCTCTTATGCCCAGCATCAGCAGGTCCGCCAAATCCAGAAGATGATGATGGAAATCATGACCCAGGAGCTGCAGACAAAGGAAAGAAGTGGTCAGTGAACTAATTCCAGACAGCATTGGAAAAGACATAGAAAAGGCTTGTCAATCTATCTATCTTGTCCATGATGTCTTCATCAGAAAAAATGCTAAAGAAGCCCAAGTTCGAATGGGGAAAACTCATGGAGCTTCATGGTAAAGGTAGTAGCTTTGGGAAAGCTACCGGGGGTGAGATGGGCACCAGAGTTGTGCATTCTTAGGTCAAAGCTCAACTTGCAGCTACAACAAAGATCTTTAGCATTCCAAATCAGCTCCATGTGGAAAATTTTTAATAAACAACCTGTGCCCATAAAAATATGTTGGTATTACTTAAATGTCTTTTCTAAAATCTTTTCTCTTTATCCAAGCCCTTTCCTTTGCCTCTTTGCCCTTTCAGAATTATTTAACTGGGCCAGCCAGTAGCATGGTGATTAGAGCAGCTGGGTCCTACATGACTGATTGTGTGGTTTGAATCCTGGACCCAGTGACTTAAAAACAAATTGAAACAAAACAAAAACAAAACACACAAACCAAAACCAAAAACCAAAAACCCAAAAAACAAAAACAAAGAAAGAAACATGCCAGGTACATGTTTTTGCAGGCCCAGAATTCTGACAGGAGAATGGAGGAAAAAGAATTGTGGTGTAGTCATCTTCCCTGGTGTAGTCCAGGACCTGGCAGCTTGCTTTCTCACTTTCTCTCTCTCTCTCTCTGTCTTTCTCTCTTGCTGGTCAAATTGAAAAAATATAATAATAAATAAAGTTAAATAAAATAACTCAAAAAATAAAACTTTTGTTTAAAATAATAATATTAATAAATAATTATTTTAAAAATT